CTCACAGCAACCTCAAACTCCTGGGCTCAGGCGATCCTCCTGTCTCAGCCTCCCGAGTAGCTGGGACTACAGGCATGCGCCACCATGCCCGGCTAGTTTTTTCTATATATTTTTAGTTGGCCGATTAATTTCTTTCTATTTTTAGTAGAGACGGGGTGTCGCTCTTGCTCAGGCTGATCTCGAACTCTTGAGCTCAAACAATCCGCCCGCCTCGGCCTCCCAGAGTGCTAGGATTACAGGCGTGAGCCACCGCGCCCGGCCAATTCAGTGGTTTTTAGTGTATTTATAGAGTTGTGCAACCATCAGCACAATCAATTTTAGAACATTTTCATCACCTCAAAAGGAAACCCTGTACCCTCTAACTATCATTCCCATAATTCTTCCATTCTTCTACTCTAACCCTAAGCAACCAGTAATTTAATCTACTTTCTATCTCTATAGATTTTTTTATTCTGGACATTTCCAATAAATGGAATCATATAATATGTGGTCTTTTGTGACTGGCTTCTTTCTCTTAGCCTAATGTTTAAAACATTCATCCATGTAGCATGTATCACTACTTCATTCTTTTTCGTGGCCAAATAATATTCCATTGCATGAATATACTGCATTTTTTTTTAAAGTTAAAGGTTTTAAGTTTAAATTGAACTATTAAGTCAGCTATATACATGATAAAAAACAAGGTAATATATTCAAAATAATATAAACCATACCTTTACGAGTCTTTTATGTGTTGATTTTATTGCTTTGTTTTTTAGTGGAGATATGTCATTTATTAACATAAAGTTTTATTGAATCAAGTGTTAGGAGTGAGGAAGTTCAGGATAAGGGCAACTTGGACACTGTTTTGCTTAAGTATATTATAGTTCCTTTTAGTATTCAATCATTGTGATCATTTTAGTGCCAAGGCTTTAGCTGGGTTCATCAAGTATACTTAATAGTGATTTAGCTGTGGAAAACCGTCCATAAAAGTGAAGAAAAACTGGTAGTCTTATTGATTCTGTGCCTAAGACAGCTGTTTAAAATGATAAAAGAAGAAATTTTTTTTACCCACTTGAAAGGTATGGGGAGTTCCTCATTTATGCAGAAATGGCCACTTCTGTAGCCACAGGAACTCCTTTGTTCTTCTCATCCCATCGTCTAGTTTTTGTCCCTTATTAGACCTCTAAATCATGGTTGTTTCAGGCATTCAGTTTGGGATGTTTTTAAAAAAATATTTTTTTAAAATTGTGGTAAAATACACATAAGATACAATTTACCATCTTAACCAATTTTAATTGTTCAGTTCACTGGTAGTAAGTGCATTCATATTATGGTGCAGCCGTCATCACTATTCATCTTCAGAACTTACTTCATCTTGCAAAACTGAAACTCTTTAAACAGTAACCCCTTTTTTTCCCCTCCCCTTAGTGTCTGGCAACCATGATTCTACTTTCTCACCTGAATTTGTCTATTCTAGGTTCCTCTAGGTGCATTTTGTGATTGACTCATTCTGCTAAGCGTACGTAATGTCCACAGGGTTCGTTCATGTAGCATGTGTCAGAATTTCTTTCCTTTTTAAGGCTGAATAGTAATCCATTGTATGCGTATACCACGTTTTGTTTATCTTTTCATCTTTCAACGAATATATAGGTTGCTTCTGCCTCTTGGCTGTTGTGAATAATGCTGTTATGAACATGGGTTGTATAAGTTCCTCTTTGAGACCTTGCTTTCAGTTCCACATATGGACAATACACTCAGAACTGGAATTGCTTGATATATGATCATTGCATTTTTTTTTTGAGGAACTGCCATGTTTTTATCTAAAGCAGCTCCACGGTTTTAACGTTTCCACCAGTGCACAAGGGTAAAGGGTGTGCTCCACATCCTCCCAACACTTACTTGCTGTTTTGCTTTGTTTTCATATTGATAATAGCAATCCTAATGGGTGTGGGGTGGGATTTCATTGTGGTTTTGTTTTGTATTTCCCTGGTGATTAGTGATGTTGAATATTGTTTCATGTGCTTATTGGCTATTTGTGTATCTTCTGTGGAGAAATATCTATTCAAGTTCTTTGCCATTTTTGAATCAGGTTGCTTATTTGTTGAGTTTTCGGAATTCTTTGTGTATTCCAGATGTTACTCTGTGATCAGGTACATGATTTGCAGATATTTTCTCCCATTATATGGATAGCCTTTTTATTGTCAATAGTGTCTTCTGATACACAAAAATTTCTAATTTTCATAAAGTCCAGTTTGCCTATTTTCGTTTTTATGCCTTTGGTGTCATATCCAAGAAATCATTGCCAAATCCACATTGACAGATCCACTGTTGCCCTATGATTTCCTCTAACAGTTTTATAGTTTTAGCTCTTAAGCTTAGGTCTTTGATCCTCAGTTCAGGATTTTAATGAAGAGAAAGTGGAGAGGTGCTAAATAAAATTTTCACTTCTTGCTTTTTCTCCTGCTTGCGGCCGTTTTGGTCATTGATCAAAATCCTGGCATTAAAAACAATTTTAATAATGCCTTCAACTTACTTTGCAGTTTCTTTCTTTCTGGTTCTCAATTCATTTAACAGTAGTGGGTTATGATGTCGTGGTGTTTGCTCTACCTGATTTTAAAAGATGCAAACTTACAATGTAACCTGCCAATGTTAAACTGTCAAATACTTCAAATATTATACAAGCAGAATTGAATCCTTTTCTAGTCTTCGAAGTCATTAACTGGGTAGGTAATTGTGTCAGCAGGGACCAGCAAATTGGGTGCCCTTGATGGGAATGTTGATGCTGCTTGACACAATGGTAATATTGTTTGGGTAACGAGTATAGGATGAAGTTGAAAGACGTCTAATTGTGTAGGACATAGGTATTATTTTTTGCCCTTTTTTTTTTTTTTTTTTTTAGAGAAAGAGTCCC